CCGCGAACCCGCGCCTTGAATCGCCGATAGTGTTTCTCAAGCCACAACCGCGCCTATTGAAACGATAAAATTGCTATAGTATTCTGGTGAAAAGACTAAAGCAAAGTTGGTAGAACAAAGTTCTAGACTTCTATTGATTTTTTGGATGATGAGTAATAACATGGGGGAAGGGCCTTTATATAGGCACAAGATTTGTCTAAGTCTAATCTACCTAGGAAAATAATAAAGCAATAAAATATTAAGTATCCTAACCAATCTAGATATTGTAATGCAATAAGGAAACCAAATAGCTAGGGGATCTAATGCCTTGGCTTGCACTTCAAGTAGTCTTGTCTTACACTCCAAGTAGAAGACTCCTAGCCTTCTCTCTCTCTCTTTCACGCCACCTAGGGCTTCTCCACCGCCTCACGCCTCCTTGCCTTAGTCCTCGAGGACTAAGGTTGTGTCTCCTACGTCCGCCTACCCACTTGCCTCGAGGAGTAAGGTCTCGCGCCTTGTGTACGCTATTCCTATTCCTTGAAGGATCAGACTTTGAGCTCATAACCACCTTGCCTATTCCTACTAGGAATAGGCTCCCGTCTACGTTACCTGATCTTCTGAGGAATACTCCCGTCACTGATCCTTCACGCGCGTTCCGGCACTCAGCTGCTTTTCCTAGTCCTGCGGGGTCTAGGATTCGTGTCTTTCCTATTCCTATGAGGATTAGGTTTGTCACCTCAGTTTTGACTTGTGCCTCGCGCGTGTCACCTAGCGCGTCTACTCCTACTCGGTCAAGACCTATGCCTGCTTGCGCGTCGCCTGTCTTGCCTAAGCTTAATAGGCCTAGGTCTTCGCCCATCTCGCATGCGTCGCCAACTGCGCACGCGGCTCGCCCATGCGCCGTCTCTCCTTCGCCTGTTCCTACACGGCCTAGGCTTCGCGCGCCTGCGCACCACTCACTCCCCATCGCGCGCTCGCCCATCTGGTTACCCTGCTCTCGCGCGTCCTTGTCAACTGCGCGGCTGCTGCCCACGTTCGATAACCCCGTGCTATTCCAGCGCCTGTCCACTGGACCACGCGTCCTCAGCGCCCTAGCGCTCCGTTTGCCTACTGCGCACCTACGTGCACCCAGCGCTGTCTGCGTATCGTCCAGCGCCCAATGCACGCTCGTCCATTTGCTGCAATCCCTCGTGCGCATTAACCTCCCGACATCCTCCCCCTGCGCACCTTTTCGCCTAATCTCCAAGCGCCATGTGCGTCTACGCCAATGCGCGTATTTACGCCCTTGTCTAATGCGCCCTTTCTTGCGCTCGATAGTCGGCCTCTTACGGACCACCTTTTTGCGTGCCCTTGCATACCTCCATGTGCTCGATCCTTCTAGCCTTGATCTCTCGAGCCTCTTGCTCGACCTCCTATGCCATTGTGCACGTCGGTACCCTCGCATACGGGCTCGTGTACGTCTCTTAGGCCATGCAAGCCTTGTTTGCGCCATTTGCTTGGCCTTGTCCATTAACCTCGGCCTTCGGACCTTCTCATCTTCAGGGGTCGAAACCCACTTCCGTATCACACATGCGCGACGCGAAGCGGGCGTGGGGAGATGACGGGCGCAGCGCGACACCTGGTAGCTTCGTGGGTCTATGTCGCACGACTTTACATTTTGGGCTCGTACACGCTCGTCCAACCTCCGAATTTGGTTCCAATTTTCTCCCGTGTACTCCCAACGAAATGCTTTCTTTAACCATGCTCACCCGGTCCATTTATCATGAAAATCAAATCTTCTCGAATCTTCCACCCTGCACACCTACGACAAGGAAAAACCGGGAAACAACCGAAAAACGAATGAAAACACCTAAATGACTCCAAAAATAGAGAAACACGGAACAAAATGCAAAACGAACTAAAAACAAACGAAAAAACTCAAAATAGGAAAAAAAAAAGGAAAATAACAAAGAAAAACGCAACAAAAATGAAACAAACAATATAATTTAAATTTCTCTTGAAATATTGCAAGTACACTTCCAAAATTTAATTGAACAAAGCGTGTTTGTTCATTTACTTAAATGATTCGAGCTCGAAGAATTAATAAAGCGCGTTTGTTCATTTACTTAAATGATTTGAGCTCGAAGAATTAATAAAGTTTTTATATATGATTTTGAGTTGATTAGAGAAGTCGAGTTTCACGAGCTTAATGTGAGTTGGGTCGGCTCATTTATTATATATTCGAGTTTGGTTCGGCTCGAGTCGATGCCAACAACACGCTGAAAAAACTTATCTTTAAGAAAAAAAATAGGTGGACCACTAATCCACTCCACAAGTTCACATACTGATAATTGATTGATATTCCCCCAACAGAATATTCGCGCGCACATTCTTTTTCATACATACAAAATTTATAGCCAATTGCATTCCTTTGTGATTACATGGAAAGGTGAATAACAATATTACCACGTGTCCTTCCGAGCATGTTTGTATACAAAAATTCTCACAAAAAAATCTCACATTTAAATTCAACCACTTTTTTTAACTCAACTTTAACTCAAATCAACTATCATCAATATTATCAATATAATAAAATAATACCAACTAATCATTTATACACATCACATCAACCTTAATTCACTATTCATCCAATCACATTATTTTAACTAACAATCACATCAAATTTTAATTATTTTATTTTAAATATTATTTTAATGTACCCACTAATAATTAATCATACTATATTTTTTAAAATTAATCAAATCAAACCAAAAAATCCAACAAAATTAAAAATTTTCATATCCAAACATGCTTCGGGTGTACAAATGCCACAGCTTTCCTTTTTTTTGAAAAAAAAAAAATAAAAAAATAATGTAACCTGACATTGAAAGTTGCCAAATGGTAGTTTAATTTAATGGAATAAGATGAGCAATTTATATATTTATTGATAAAAAAATAATAACTGGACAAAGAAAACAAAAAAGGAGAATAGTAGACCAACATAAAAAACACGTATTCCGTGAATACGTTTTATGTATATTTTAATCAAAAAACGTATTCACTAAATACGTTTTTTACATTTTTTTTGTAAAGGAAAACGTATTACGTGAATACGTTTTACAATAAAAATGTGGAGAAAACGTATTCACGGAATACGTGCTTTTCATTTATTTCCACCCACTTTTTCCTTTTTTTTTGTCCACTACTTTTTTGTTATTTTTTTCGGTAAAAAATTCGGAATAAGATACTTATTTTTTCAATTCATGTTTCATATTGAATGCGTGTTATGATATCATGTAGACGCCGCCTAGACGCTAAGCTGTGTCATGGCGTCTCCAATTTGCATAAATCAACAGAAAAAATCAGTTAGATGGTTAGGCGGCCTTAGGCGTTCTTAGACGGACTTGACGGGCTCGAGGGCCAGGTGCTCCTAGGCTGCCTCGGTTGTATTTTTATCTCATTAAATATGAATTGAAACACGACTTTTTGTTCGTGTTAATTTAATGTTTTCATTGAGAGAATTTCATCGTGAAACACGGTGGGAATATCTTTTGAAATGTAGCAAATCTTATACTTTTTAAGAGAAAAAAAATATAATTCCACAACAATTCGAGTCGTATAATCTACCTCCTACGTTTGTTTCAGTTGTTCAATTTCAAGAGAATTAGGAGAATTTTATTTGTTTTGAATGACAATTGCAAAAATGAACATTTATTATTGATTGAGATCCAAATCACAAATATAAGCAAACAATTTTCATGTAAATTGTACAAATACAAACGTTTTTGCTATGAAATCAACAGTTGGTTCTATAGTGGAGCAAAACAGCAAATACGAAAACCCCTCAAATATTTTCATATTCGTCTCAATATCAAAAGCAAATTCCCTCATCTTAAAGCTCACCCTTTTTTCTTCAACACATTTCCACATTTTATTCCCCTTTCAAATTCCTGTTTATCCTCTGTAATTTGTCGAAGCAAATTCACCTTAATTTCCAAGCAGATTTCGGAAAAGTCCGAAGAATTTGCATATGAAATTTGGGAAGGAGTTCAGGACCCACCTGGAGAAAACCCTACCCGAGTGGAGGGACAAGTTCCTGTGCTACAAGCTGTTGAAGAAGCTGCTCAACCATTATCCGGCCGCCGTCTCCGTCGATCTGCCGCCGGACGCGCGTCGGCTGCCGGCGGTTCAGGGCTGGTTCGCGGCGATTCTCTACGAGGAGCTGGAGAAGTTCAACGACTTCTACGTCGAGAAGGAGGAGGAGTTTATAATCCGCTTCCAGGTTTTTTTTCCCCGTCTTCCCTGATCTAGAGTTTTCGTGTGTCTGATTGATTATGTGCTGCTCTTCCTTTTTGTTTTTTTTTTCTTCTGTTTTCTTGAGGTGTGTAATTGGTTGCAAATTTTGATGTGTGTGCGAGTGAATATTTGCTTTGATTTGAAGAATGAATCTTGTCGAAAAACAACCCGAGGTTTGTAATGTTCTGTTTTATGAATTGTTGAATGTGATGGAAAAATGAGAATACTTTGAATTTATCATGCTATGTTTTGGGGTTGAATATTGTGGGAGAATTAGAATACTTTTAATTCATCATGCTTAGTTTTGGGGATGAATATGGTGGAAAAATGAGAATACTTTGAACTCATCATCATATGTTTTCGGGGAGAAGTCAAAGTCATGATGGAAATCTTTACCTTGTAAAGTGATTTTGACTGAATAGTGGGAGATGTAAACATGAATTACGGTATACTCGGCATCAATCTCCGAAGTTGGATGCGTTTAAAAGAATCCTTAATAAGGTATTTTTTCCGTGCGTCATTGGAATTTAGTAGCTGCAACACATGATTGTATATTTTCCAGAAGTGTCAATATAGTCTTTTACACATGGAGTATTCTTGATAATATGTTAATAATTTACATTCACAAAAAGCACAGGTGGTGCTCTTAAGCTTTTATTATTGTGACTGCGAAGATTTCAAACCGAGGCAAAGCCAGGGGAACCTGTTCCCCAGGCTAAGGGATTTAATGTTTACTTTGTTTCACATGCTTGATGTAATCACTTCGGTTAAATTAGGTCATCGATCATTGTATTGAACAACTGGTGAAGGTAGTGGCTTGCTTGTTGTTTACTCTTACACCATTCTCTAAAACTCAATAGTTTGAAGAATATCTTTGGCATATTCAGTTCTATTTACCATTTAATTAATTGGTAAATTTATCAGTTTAGAGTTTCCAACTCAGGGAATTTCATTTCTCAGTTTATCGTTTTCAGGCACTTAAGGAAAGGATTGAGCGAGTGAAGGAGACTGAGTTTAGTGAAGAAATGATGAAGATACGCAAAGACTTTGTCTCCATTCATGGAGAGATGGTTCTTCTCAAAAGCTACAGCTCCCTTAACTTTGCGGGTAAAAAGAAAGCTACTTTCTGTTTCTTTCTTTTTGTATATAGTGATATGGGTTCTTTAAAATGATCCATTTATTACTCTCACGGTTCGTGGGTTTCAAGTCGAAAAGATTTTAGATCTTTTTTCTGCTCTGATCCCGACTCAATGATAGATATCAGGTTAGAATCACTCAGTCAGATAAGGGTCGATGTAATTGAGGCAAATCAATGAATAGCAGTTATAATTAGGAGTCTTACTCCCTTCTCGATGTCGGGGAATCGATCAAAGTGACTTAGAAAGAAGGTTCTCCCGAGAAGATAGCTATGAAAACGCATCTCGAACATCTTTTCGTTACCGATCTGTTCTTGGAAAAACTCCCTGAAAGCCACCGGTTAGAATCTCTATAACCCGAGTGTAACGTCTGTATGAGTCTTTCTATTGATCGGTCATATAGGTCCGGGTTGGACATCCAATTGCTTCGATTTGAATTCCTCCAGCAGTGTTCCCATTGTGTAATGGACCACAAAGGCTATCTCGGCTATCATTGAAGGGGGCTGGTTGCTCTCCTGCGCAAGAGAGAAAAAAATTTGTCCGTATGCTCACCATTCCATATCCCTGCACTTGTGCTCCGCAAGCCTGAACCTGAGGAAGTATGATGCTAAAGCCCAGCGTTGGCTACCGCCTTTACTGAACCAGCAAAGAAGAGGAAGTCTCTAAAGACTGGTCATACCCCTTTGCCTTCTTTCCTACCCTTATTGGGTCTTTTCATCAACTTTGAATTCCTTTCGGGAAAGCTTTGGATCTCTCTATGAATGGAAAGGGGATTTTCTTTCTCAAAAAGAGGAATCTATCGGCTGGACGTTGCGCGTTAGCGCAGTAGTTTGATTGCTGCTTTTAAATATGGTCGATTACATTGAGAAAGCTAACTCGGAAGCTGACCCAAGACGGAACACATTGTCGGATCACTTTTACAATATGAAGTCCCAATGAGGAGAAACCTCTTTCTTTACGAGTTTTTTCCGACTTTTATCTGTCCATTCTCTGTAAAGAGGTTGTGAAATAACACGGCGTGTGTATCTAGGGAATAGTCGCTGCAAGGCGAATTCTCTCTAGATACATCTATTCAATAAAATTCGAAATTTCTTTCGAATATACGAATTGTGCTACATATTCAAAACCTATTTTCATCTTAATTTGAAAATAGAAAAATACCCCTAAGGTCTAGTTTAATAACGAGAAAATTCCAAGAGCGTGATTGGATACAAAAATTTCCATCCAAGGTGGATTTTTTTGGCTAACCACCTTAATTTACGAAAAAATGGTATAGTTAGTTGTTAGGAAGATTTTGAGATTATATTAAAATAATATTTGAAAATAAAATAATTAAAGTTGATTCGATGTAAAAGTAGGAGATAGGTGATTTAAAATAATATTTGAAATAAAATAATTAGAGTTGATTTGATGTAAAAGTAGAAGAGAGATGATGTGAAGTGATTGTTAGTTAAAATTATGCGTGTGAATGTATAGTGAATTAAAGTTGATGTGATGTGTAAGAATGATTGATTTTATCATTTAATTGATAATATTAAATGATAATATTAAAGATAGTGGAGTTGAGTTATAGTTCAATTAGATTTTGAGTATGAATTGAGTTTTTGTATCTAAACACACCCTAAATATTTGTTGAAAAAAATCACAAATTGCACTGCATAACATTTGCTTTTACCTTATAAACCAATTCCGGCCCTGTGGTTGCTGATATTTTCTTCTTTTTTTCGGGATTTTTTCGCTAGGCCTTATTAAAATTTTGAAGAAATACGACAAACGAACGGGAGACTTGCTGAGCTTCCCTTTCACCCGGCTCGCTTTCCACCAGCCATTCTTCACGACTCAACCACTCACACGATTAGTCCGCGAGTGTGAAGAGAAACTCGAGATCCTATTCCCGATCGAACCAGAGGTGATCGAACCAAATCCTCCCATGCAGGATCAAACAGCTGCTGCTATACCTCCTGCCGACTTGCCAAACACGCCCTTAGAATCGGCATTATCGTTCGGGGAAGAAAAAACAGTGGGCATATACAAGAGCACCCTTGCCGCAATAAACGCCATACAAGGTTTGAAAAAGGCTAGCTCGACTTATAACCCTATGTCCATGTCATTTCTGTTCGGGAGCCACCTGGACAGCGAGTGCACGGGTGGCGTGACAGCTCAAAACTCGCCCTCCAATTCTTTCATCGGGTTGCATGACGTGGAGAATGAAAATGAAGATATTTTTCCAGACTAATAATCTAATCTTTTTTTTTTTTGGGGTTGTCCGATATGCGAGAAATTGTATGAAAATATGTAGCCAGTACAAATAAAACTGCTCATAGAGCCTTTATACATTACTGAAAGCTAATATACAGTATAGTATTTGGTTCAACTTTAATTTCCCTTTTGTAAAATTTTCATCATTGTAAAAGAAGCAAATATATATTTTGTCACATATTTTTTTCGTCTTCATAGTGAAATGGTAATGGCACTGAATTGAATGCACGATATTTTCCTACGTTGTTGAAGTGCTCATTCTCCAACCTGCCCAGAACCAAAAATAACATCATGAATCAAAGTTCAATACATTAATATTCATAATTATAAAAAAAAAAAAAAAAAAA